GGAGGTGAGGATGCGTCTGGTATGCTTGTAACACTATCCGGAGCCTTTGCCGCAGACCTATATGACGACGGGTTTACCATCCCATTGGATGACGACGGCCAACCATCCAGCGAATCCTTCGAAATTCTAGTACCAGAAGATGACCAGACCCTTTCCGAGTCTACGGAGAAGCCACTGTCATCAGACAACATCTCCCTTCCTGCGAAACCTTCATCGACGGCAGACCCGTCAGGTCTGTCGTATTCTGCGCAGGTCGCGAAGCAGTTCTCTGCGTATCAGCAAACTACCGAGTCAGGAGCGACAACAACGACACTGCTCTTCCTGCACCTGGACCATCTGCCATCGCGACTCATGAAACTGACCGCTCTACGAGCTGACCGGCCGATACGGCCGTCGGAGATGAAGGACGAAGGGTGAGCAGTTTACCTCGCTTCTTTTTATGTGATAACAGCTAGTACGGAGCACTGGCTCGTATCGTTGGGCAACCGTAAGCACGTTCGGTGGATTTGTCCGGAAAGGATACACGTTGTATTTTGCCCATGCTAGTACTTTCGACCTTGGTGAACGTACGACACATATACCGTACATAGTTCCTCCTCTTAATTCTGCTCTACTGACTGGTAATTTCTATCGAACTAATCCGCTGCTTTTTTTTCGCTATAACTCTTACACACTTACTGGCCCTCCCTCCTTAACTTGGCTACCCTGGTCGCTAATCACTTACGTGTCGCTTTGACAATATCACTCTGGACCCCCATCGCCAAACTCCTTCACCTCACTGCACTCCTACCCTTACTACTCGTTCTTGCCTACGGAATCTTCCTCGGTTAGCAAAATGTTCATCGGAGGACTTAGCTGGGACACTACAGATGGTATACGCTCTTACCCGTACAAAATTACTTCTTGTCGAACTAACAACTTCCCCTGTCCGAGTAGAAGGTCTGAAAAAGTACTTCTCTACAGTTTGGCAAGGTGATTATACGATGCGATTTCTCGTCAAACACTCGTGTCTCCATACGGAGAGCGAAACTGACGACTTGTTTCCTTACTGAGGTGGATGCTTGCACAATTATGCGTGACCCCGACGGAAGGTCACGAGGATTTGCGTTCCTAACGTTTGAGGAACCAGAATCCGTGAATGCCGTCCTTGCGCAGGAGCACACGCTGGACGGGAAGACCGTTGGTCGAACCATGTCCTATATCTGCGCCAATGGTTGACATCATCCTTTTTTTTCGCAGATTGACCCTAAGCGGGCGATACCACGGGAAGAACATTTGAGGAATACGCGGTATTTTGTGGGCGGACTCTCGCACGCGACGACCGCCGACTCTATGCGTGACTTCTTCTCTGCTTATGGAAAAGTTGTCGATGCTACGGTTATGGTCGACCGCGAGACCGGTCGATCCAAGGGCTTCGGATTCGTGACGTTCGAAGACTCTAGCAATCAAGAACGATTCGTTGGTAAACTGGGACTGATTTTGGATGATAAAGAGGTCGGGGTCACCCTGTGTCTTGCATGTCTTGCATGGGGGATCTGACGGTTTGGAATTTACTTCTGCTCTAGATCGAGGTGAAGATGGCCCAGCCCCGGAGCCAGCGCGATCAAGCGCGGAACGTGACGAGCCGCGATGGTTACAGTGATCAAGATGCGCGTCATTCAGCTGCGACGCCCATGACGTTCAACCCGCAGCAGGCTGCGAATCCAGCGGCGTCGATGATGTATCAGCGCATGATGAACCAGATGCCCATGGCCAATGGCGGGGGCGGACCTGTGGGTATGATGAACCCGATGTTGATGGGTATGGGCATGGGCGGCATGAACATGGGTGCCACGGGTATGGGTATGGCGATGAACAACCTTGGTGGTATGGGCTTGGGCGGCATGGGAATGATGGGAGGTGGGGTGAACCCGATGATGGCGATGAATCCGATGGGCATGCGTATGGGGATGGGTGGACCGATGGCTATGGGTATGATGCAGCCTGGCGCAGCTGGGGGAATGGGCATGGGAAACGTCGGCATGAGAATGAGACAGGGTATGGGTATGGGGGACATGATGGGCATGAACGCGCATCCAGGAGCGATGTCGATGAGTTCAGGTCCAGGCCCCTCCAGAATGCCGAGTCGCGTGCGGCACACATTTCACCCGTATGCTCGGTAGGGGCGAAGGGAAACGTCTCTGTGTTACTCGCTCCGTTATTCTGTACTATATATCCTGCCTTAGTTTTGTGATATCTGGCTGCTGTATATCAAGGCTAATTATTTGCAACGCATGCATGGGACTACTAATACGTAGAGAGTTTTTAGAACCATCCTCGCATTTTTGCAACTGATCTCAAAATGTCATCTGCTTTCTCAGTGGCCAAGTAGTCTGCTCGTCCTTCTTCGTCTCCTACCGAAACACACGTTCTCCAACGTTCCAAGTCCCCCTCGTCCACACCAAGGGCACGAATGATGGTTGACAGGTAGCCCAAGTCGGCCGCAAGCTGTGCAGAGCCGGCGGAAGTCAATACCCTGATTTGTGGCAGAATATTCCGGGTCAAGTGCGCGAGCATGGTTCTTCCAAGAGAGGAAAGCCATGCAGCGGTGACAGCCTCTGGGGAATGAGGTTGCTCGGCCTGAACTGCGCTTAAATCATCCCCTTCACGGCCGGAGGTGAGGCCGTCACCCGTAGCCAAGGCACCTATCTCAAACCCGAGCGCATCATCCTCTGCGTAGACCTCAAATAGTCTTGGAAGGTTGAGTAACCCGTCACCGACACGTTGAATAGTTTCGCTAGGACTCAAAGAGAATGCTGGGATATTTACACCTGCGAGCCCTGGAACGGGTTCTTGGCGCGATGCAGACCAGACGGGCAATGAAGAATAGGCGTTGAGATGTACGAAAAGTGGGGAGAGGAGAACACGTTGTAGTGTGTGTTGGTTGGCACGAGCGAAGGATGTGAGGGCAGAATGACTTGAAGTTAGCAAAACGGGAGCCACAGCTGTGGTTCCCGTAGACTGCGACTGTAGGACTCGCGAAAACAGATCCCTCAATTCCACAGAGTTTAAGGTAGACTGAGCTAGTAACATGCCTTCTCCTTTCGTTACCCCAGGAGTATAAAGTCCGTTCGCCGCAGTACGGAAGGCCATAGCCACTTGGCTCAGAACCCCTCGGAGGCGTGTCTCGAATACCACCAGGCGTTCCTTGATTGCTTGTGCAGCAGCAAGAAGATGCAAAGCACGCTGGATATACGCCCAATCTTGTGACGTATAATCTAGATCTGCAAACTCCTCGTCCTCAGCACCGCTATACGAGAGGGCACTAGTACCCGTTGCAGAGCCCGCGTTCGCCCAGTCAATGACGCGGTTTGTCCATGCGTCCACAAATGCGCATACACAACTATCAAGTGCGCGTACGAGACCGACAGACGCGTACCCATGGGTGAAGGTCATGCACCTCTCGATACTCTCTTCCGCAGCACTGAACACGTCAACGGCGTGTTCGCGCATCGCTCGAGCTGCACGATCGCTATCCACAACGCCCTGTAACTTGACAACGGGTGAGCCAAGTGCTTCCTCCAATAGTCGTCTCTCGAGGGTACCGAAGTCAACCTGGAAATCGAGGAATGGCTGGAAGAGGCACTGATCCCATTCCATAGCGTCGACTGAACTTATCCCGCTAGAGCCACTTTGTTGCTTAGCTGAACCAGAGATGCTGCTTGTCGACCGCCACGACATGGACATGCGCATAGAGCGTCGCCGGGAGAGTTTACCCTCACCTGAAGATAATGGGGATGCAGCGGGCATCGCAGACGGAGCAGATGCGCGCAGTTTCTCCATGATCCTTTCCGTCCCCTTGGCGAATTCTTCCGTAACCTGAAACAGTTTTACCATGTCCCTTAATGCAGAGGTACCGGTACTACCATGGAAAAGCGCCGCGAAACGTTGACCGGGTGAAGGTGTGAGGGCAGTGAGCGTGTTGTGGATGAGGAATGCTAGAGTAGACTCCGGATCCGGAAAGATGGCCGGAATGGAGTGGCGTTCTCCATTGAGAATGGACAAAAACGAGGAGAGGAACGTTGGATAGAATGAGGTTAGCTTTTCTGGGGTCCGGTGGTGCTCCGAAGTTCCGGTGGGCGTAGATTCATCGTCCAAGACTGCCTCAGTTCCACGTTTCCACTATGGGGATGCGCCGCGTTCCATAGTAGTAGTTCCTAAACTCACTTTCGCGCCCGATGTCTACGAATACGGCGTAGAGAGATTTGCATGACTCGACGTCATTGGCAGTGATGGCTCGCACTAGATCAGGTGAAACGGCAGCCTCGAGCTGGTTCGCAAGAGACGTCAGTAAGGCGCGACGGGGTTCCTGCGCTGTGCCGGGCGTAGCTGCGGCTGGACGAGACACTGGCATCAACTTGGCTGAAGCCGATAGTCTGGAAGCGGCGCGAGCATATGACTTTTCAGCCAAAAGAGCTGTGACCTCTGCTTCGAGCGCGCCCCAGGATTCAGCTTCACGAAGGACATCTCGTGCGGCTTCCATGCGAGTTTTTATGGTGTCTAGATACTGCAACCTCTCTAGGACCTTGGATGTCGCGTCAAAGTGACCCGGTGTAGTGGTAGAAGGGTTGTTTGAAGGAACTGATTGTGCCAAGACACTCTTGAGTGCGAGTGCCCCATCACGGGTGAAATGAAGGTCATATGCCAGGCGTGGGGTTGCACGGGCAATGTCATCTATGGTGTTCTCAAGAGCGGAAGATGTGGACTGGGCTGCAATGGATGTTGCGGTCAAGAGTGTATCGAGGGAGGCTCCATCGTTACTAGCTGCCTCCTGTCCAGAGGAATCTAAGACGGCGTTCAGCCATGTCAAGACGTCCGGCGACTGGTCAAGCTGTTCGATGACCGAGGCTGGAGAAATCCCCTCCATACCACTTTAGTCGTCGTGACGATGTACAACCAAAAGCTGGGAATGCCCCTCGCACGTCCTCGTCGTATGCTGCGAGTCTGACTAGCATTTCAGTTCGGATATGGTGTAATGGCTAACATTGCCGCCTCTCATTCGTGAGGGACCTCAACGCGGCAGCTCGGGGTTCGATTCCCCGTATCCGAGTCTGCTTTTTTTCTTTCTTTCCAGCTTTGAACAGTGCGCATGGGTTTCCAACGTGTTCGCTGTTTCATGCTTACTCCCATCCGCACGGTTCACCGCGCTCGAGCTGCGGTCTCTGCTGGGTGGGCCACTTATGTAGCATCCCAAGCCAAATCCAAGTACCCCGTTCTCTACAGAAGGCTGCACGAGGCATGGGTGGTGGCAGGATGCGACCTAAATATCGCCACATAAACCTAACCCTGCCATTGGCACTGTTGCTGGTATCCATTCCATGCGCTGGCCATCAAAAAAAGAAAAGTATTGACGGCGTTCATGTTGGTTGGGCTCCTCAGCCAAACATACCTGTAACCGCGAATTTCTAGGTGAGCGGCGTCGGTAATTATCAGGTGACATTCCATGCCGGAGTTGTCAGATGTTCTTTTCAAGTTTCCAGAAAGCGGAGGCTAACTACTCTGCTGTCTCTGTGCCACTGAAGCGTATCCTAACGCAGGGTTGTCGTTGCAATGCGCCGCTCGAGCGTTATACAGCTTGGCAAGCAGGGCGGCCAACCACGTGCTTGGCCACCGTACCTCTCGTATACAGCATGGCTAGAGGCTTAAAGGAACTCAGCGTAGCCTCCGTCAATGACAGCCACAGAAAAAATTCTACACTAGCCATCACTAGGACCTACTAAGATCGTGGCGATCTTTTCATTCGCTTTTGTTGGCTCGTTTCGAATTCCAACACCCTTCCAGTGTTGTGGGAAGCATAGGCACACCCGCTCCGCTGGTTGTACCAGGTAAAGTGTGTTCGCGAAACAGCATGGAAACAGCAGAATTAACTAAAACACGTGGACAGCGAGAACGGCATAGCACAGATCCAAGAAAAAACTTTCTACCCTCGGGATAGACGACGTACACCTCCAAGTCACCGAAAATATTACGGGAGCGGAAGGGAAAACCGAAAACCTGACAGCTCGAAGCCATATATCAGTTCCCAGTGTCTCTGCACTGGTTATAGTGAGCGTTGCGCGTATCCGCGCGGGGGAATTCCATCCCGCAATTGTAGCACGCGTACATCCACGCGATGTGCTTTTGTTGAATATGCGGAAACATGTTCGTGCCTGCGACGTACTCCCTGCAACCGTCCCAGCGACACCTCATCATTCGGTTGTCCGCGTTCATGATGCCGTGACGTTCGCGCAAATGGGTAGGGAAGAGACGTCCGGAGATGTCATTTCTGCAGCTCGTGGAGTTATCCACCCATTGACATGTGTGGAGCCGGTGCTCTGGAGACGCAGCAATCCTGATGAGCATGAACGCGTCCTGGAAACGGTAAGTTGGGTAGTCAAGTCGACCACGGCATCCATATATCGGAGATGCCTACCTCGTCGGTGAAGTCGCGATTGTACCTGTCGCTGTTGGGGTATGCAGAATTGGTAGACATCCCGGTTGTGTAGAAAGGGCGGTGAGTGGCTTAGTGGAGGGCTAAGAGCCCTCCTCCCTTTATACAACAAACTCTCCACTGACAGCCGTTGTAGCGCGTGGTTCACCTGCACAGGATGGCCATTTTACTGTAACAGAGAGGCCGTTGGCAAGACGCCATCAGGTTGGTGGGTATGTGTGTACGCCGCGGTCACAATATCTCCTCATGCGGATTGCCACTTACACGAAGCGCTTGTAGTCGGGAGCGTGAAACCCCTGAGTTGGCTGAATGGCACTGCACTTGGCCAACGAATCGGCCAACTGAGTTCCCCAGCAATTCGATCCGATGTCACGCAGGGCCGGACACGCCTCTTAGAAGTTGTGTATTCGGCTCGGCGTCGATTGATCACTCAGTTTATCCGATGCTCATTACCATGTACGCATACACAAATCCACAGCTCTTCTACCCCACTTCATGTCCCTAACAGCACACGACAATTCAAATAACAAGGTCGATATGACAGGACATGCACGACTCAAATAAATGACTCAAATGTAACGTGACAACATGAAGAAGAACGGATGATACAGGTCCTAATATCATGCATCAGCGATAAACGAGGAGGGTTGCTTTGGATGCATACTTTCTTCAAGACCCCTTCGGCGCTTCCTTCCAGGAGATCACAGCTTCCTCGCCCATAGCAGAAACGACTGTGACAAGCAAATCTTTTTCGTCATCAAACCCATCTTTGATTTCCTTTCCCAAAGGGTCCTCGGGGACCTTGACGTCGTCCTTGGAAGTGTGGTCTTGGCCCATAAGACTCAAGAACCCATCCTCAATGTTCACCTGCAACGATTCGCTAAGGTCAGTAGAAATGGGATGGATTTGTCCTTACAAGTTGGTATTCCCTGCGAGATACATTAGGGACGTCCATATTATGGGTAGAGGGACAGATTTCTTCCTGTGTGGCGTAGAAATCAGAATAATCAAAGATGAGTCAACAAGATGGGACCTCGTACCAATTTCTTATTAGTGAAGATCTGACGAGATGCGTCAGAAAACAAAGTACAAGCACGAGTGCATCAATAGAAGATACATACGTCAATGCCGACGAGGTGAACCTTGGCGTGTCCATGTTTTCCTGTCTTAGAAGTGGACATCTCGACAATTTTGCACGGGCGGCCTTATTGACGCTGTTATGACAAAAGACATCTGATTAGTAGGCAACGAGCACACCTTTTATGACGACATGGCCGTTTTTACGCAACGCCGAGCATTGCATAGGGAAAGTGAGCGAGGCTCCAGCGCTCGCCTACAGAATGGCATCGAGATATGATCAGATGACGATCGGAGGGGAGATGTGGTATATCTGACCTGCTCGAAGGTCTGATTGTGTTGCTCATCGTCGGACATCGTGGTGGATAGGGACGGATAGGATGGGTGTCTAAGTTGGTCTACACGGGCAGGAAAACAGAGGAGATGAAAGAAGATGGAAAATAGGAAAGAAGAAGGGCGTTTGACGGGAGCGATTTGTTTGATCACACTTTTTTGGATCGCGAAAAAAACCTCATCGCGATTGCCATTTCAACCTCCGACACACGGAGTTATCTATCGTGCCGATGTGCCGACGCTTTTCCTTCCTCGAACTGTGGAGGTCGACACTGATGGATTCAGCGTTTGGACTAAGACTTTTACCACTATCACTCGTGCCCAAGACCGAGAAGCCAAGGGACTGTAAAATGCCGTTGGCCAGCTGCACAGTAGAACCATGCTCAAGACGAGAGCATTCCCGTGATCGGTGTGCAATGCGCACCATCGAACCAAGATTCCCCTTACAATCACCCTCTAACATGAACCGAGGGTCATTCACTTGGCCAATGATTCCGCCGCAGTGTAAATCCAAAGTATGGAGCACTTGCGGGTGCAGTAATTCGTTCTCGGAAATCGCCGAACGCGTACGACCGAGCTTCCACGTGGATAAATATCTTGCTTAGCAACACTACGCTCGCGAGGAAACCATTACCAGGACTTTCTATTCGCCGTATTCGAGAAGCCATTGCATCTGCTCCCGACCGGTAGTGCTGCGGTAACTCCAGATTTCTTCTCAGTATTCGTCTCCGCGGCTGACTGCTACATAATCCTCCACAGGTTCCTGAACCATCATTACGTCTGCGATGCACCCCTTCGGTGGAACCCCAGTTTGCCCCCGGTGTGGTAAGGCTGTCTACGCTGCCGAGCAGGTATGGGGTCGTATGATTCTCCTGCTTCATTGCTGCGACCAATTTTGATTTCATTTGTCCTAGACTATGGGCCCTGGTCGCAAGGTAAGAAGCTCAGCCAACGACCAACTATTTCATACTCACCCTACCGCTGCACGACCATATTCCCGATCAGTTGTATCATAAGGCAAGGATTCATCGTTCCACTTGGCCATTGCAATTAATTCGGAGCGTTGCTGTACGCAGCCATGTTTGGCGTGTACCTCCTGCAGTAAACGTCTAGACTCACTGACGTTGCTGGAACATGACCAAATGGTGCGCGTCTTTCTTTTAACAAAACTCTCCTTCCACTCACCTCCGTACGTTGTGCAGCCATACTGGTGAGATGTTCTTCTAGAAGGTGGTCAGGTCGGGTTGACATTCCCGTCTAAGCAAAACTTGCCACGTCCGACTGTTTGGGATACGTGACTTACGACAAGCAAACCTCCCTAACAAAGAGGATCCCTCTCCCTTTCCCTTTATTTCCCCATCCGTTCGCTCTGCTCATGGATCCCTCGTCGATACGCCCACTGGTTCAGCCTCCCCTGTGAGGAGTACATTCTCTACGCCCGCGACACATAGTAGGGCATATGGATCCGCCGATCTAATGGCAACTCTAACCAGTGGATCCCGCTCGCCTGTTCGAGCTCACTTCACTGGTATGGGTGGTGCAACGCCACTGCTACGTGCCAACTCCACTCTTCCTACATGCTTTAACCCCGCATCGCCTTCCAGTCCAACCCCTGATTCCACGACCCCCGAGGCGGGTGAAGAGATCAATGCAGAGACAACAGAGATGAATGAGGTACCGGGCCCCACCACCATGGCATCTGAGACTACTTCGGGTATCCAACGTGCAGGGGAATTTCAAACCTTTTCCCCCGGGTTGCTCAGTCCGACCAAGTCTACCCAGGGCCCTTCTGAGACTCCTGATGGATTCCCTGACGTGTCGACAGGACGGCCAGCATCACCGCTCAAACCAAGTCCAACGGGGCTCGTCAGCACGGCTAATACTACTCCCTTGAAGCAAACTTCCACCGGAACTCGGTACGGAATGGCGCTCGGAGGTGCTGGCAATAGTCCTGTGAAGTCATGGGCACTAGGAGGTACAACGCCTGTGTGCCCTCGATGTGGGAAGAATGTCTATTTTGCCGAGCAGGTTGGCAACTTCCTGTGAACCCGCACTCGTGAGGCTCTGCTGAACTCTGGTATCAGATGAAGGCCATCGGGAAAACTTGGCATAAGGGATGCCTGAGATGCTCATCTTGCAATACCCTTTTGGATTCCAAGCGCTTGAACGAGAAAGATGGCAAGCCGCTGTGCGGGCGCTGCTACAGCAAG